TAACTCGAAATTGTGGGAAAAAAATGTTTCATCTTAATCATTAATTGTTGTTTAAGGAACAATAAACCAGCTCCTTTAATTTTTTTATAAAACTTTGACGATTCAGGAAAACGGTTCGACCAAACATTGGTACTTTTCGCAAAATTTGCAAAGTAGTCGTTGATTTTCCAAAAAAAAAAACAGGAAAATTAATTTTTTGCAGTTTTTCAAATTAATGCTGAGTATAATTTCTTTTTAAACATACCAGAAGGTCCTCGAAGAGGATTCAAGTTCCCAAAAACATGTTCGCTGTACGATTGACTACGCCTGAAAAATATTTTCTGAGGCCATGAAAAAAACAAAAATTGCCTTGCATTATTTCTTTTACTTGCGCCGAAAGTGATCTCAAGATTTCAAAACTAGAATCTTCAAGCTTGAAGATGCTTTTTTTTCTTTATTCACGAAGTTACATAGCTTCAAAAATCACAAAAAAAAATGAAAATCTTTCTGCTCCTATAACTTTTTTGTTGAGTATATTTTTAAACTATTGATGTTTTTTGGTCTTAATAAATCAACCTGTATATTTGTTAATACATCAAAGTTTCTTATTTATTAATACAATGAAAAGATATTTTATTGACAATTTTTTAAACTGATAAAAATGATTTGTATGAGTTCTGTATAGTTTATTTTACGCTTTTGTGAAATAACAAATAATAACTTTTTTTTCTGCTGCGCAAACCAACACTTTATTTCCCTCTAAGCCCTGCAGAAAGGATAAATATATTAGAATACATCCCGAATCCCGATATTATTTATCTCCCGCAAAATAAAATTTATGGGGGACTCTAAAACCATAAATAAAGTCCTGAGAAGAAGCTGACATATATCTAGACCTTTATTGCTTGGAGGGTTCGCCAACTTTTTATTTAGTATCATAATTTAAAAATATTAACACTTTATATTTTATATCGGACATAGGAGGGATTTATCGACTTTTTGAACAAAGATATCTGCAAGAAAACTATAAGTTTTTTAATAAAACGTGTCATATATTATTAAATCAACGTGACTTTGGAGAGATGTGAAATTGCACATGTATTTTTGCTAAAAATTAGCTGCTGATCCGCTGGTTACAGCTGTTTCCTGTTTTGGTTTAGAAATTGTGTTTTGAATTTTAATAAATATAGATTCAATAAAATTGAAATGGTTCCTTTCCTTCCTATCTCGTATCTTGTATGTGTATATTTTGTACCTATGTATTATATGGAAATTCGAGTTGTTTTTGACATGAAAAAAATTCAATGTAAATATTCCTTTACCAAGCTACAATGTGTTAAAAATGCAATTTGGAAAACGCTTTTGCTTTAGTTTTGATAGAGATATGTGATAATTATTTGCTACACTTTTCTTAATTGTAAGTCTCGCTGGATATTTTGCGGACGCCCATGCTTTTCCGACGTTCCCAGAGTTACACGAACTATGCCAATTTGTGGCAAATTACTCGGTGTGATTCCGCATCAGAACAAAGATCGATTCTCATGAAGTCGATGTCCGTGTCCGAGACACAAACTGCCTGCAGAAGGAAGCATCCAATTAGGACCTTCTAGCCAAAATCCTTAATTTTTTTCATTCCGCAATTCGGTCGAATAGAATCCCCTTTATTTGCTCTAGCCTCACTTCATTTACTTCATCCTTTTGTAAACTAAAATCAATACGCAATTTCGTCTTGTTGTAACAGCCCTGGCGGAGGAATCAAAAATTACGTTAGGAACAGAATAATGAGGAAATACCGCACGGCACAATCATATTAAAATCTGGCTAGATCCCTCGTAACGAATATCTTGGTAATGTTGAAACGGGGAAAGAGAATAAACTTCGCTTCACTTGATATCGCTGGGCTGTTTCGTGGATGTATATTACTAGCATTATAACGGGTGATGTAAGGGAATGAATTGTTACTGATCAAGACAGGATCAAAGTGAATTGTCATATAAATTAATTGTGGCCCTTTGCTGTACCGTTTCTAGGGTACCTTTTTCATTTTTAGAGGTAGACAAGGGCGGATCTGTTTTGAGGTGGATATGAGAGGGGACAAGCAAAGTTTTTTTGGATTGCCTTCAGTGCAACTCACATAATAAAAGTGTAGATTCCTAGATCTGGGCGAGGTCCGGAACATTTTCAAAATGCCAAAATGTTTAAAAAATTTAAGAAAATACCTATTTTATCTGAGTTTTTTACTTATATCTTGGAACCTATGCATTTTGAAAGAATATTTGAAGTGGAAAAATGCTTTAGAATTGAATTTTGCACAATACGCTGCAAGTTAAAATTTTTTAAATTTATTACTGATGTTGCAAAATAGCAATAATTGATGAAAAAAAGGTAAATTAATCAAGTTTTTTGGTTAATTTTTTTAAATTTTTTAATTTCTCCGAGGGCATTCTAATTCTGGTAAAAAAAACTTTAGACTATAATAAAACAACACACCAAATTTCATTAAAATCGGTTTGATAGTTCTCGCAAAATATTTTTTTTTTAAATTTTCGAATTTTCAAAATGTTGCACAGCCTCATATAAAGCATCTAGATACTTGAAAAAATTTTTCACATAGAAAAGACCGCTCTACCTTTCAACTGGTTTTTGAAAAATTTAAATCGGTTGATTAGGACGACCACAGTAAATTTTTAAACTTAACACTCTTTTTTTATTTTTAAACAATTAGATTACATTTGTCAATTTGCAATTTGTTTTTTTCAAAAATTATAATTTTAAAGTACTAATTTTTTCTTAATTTTATCTGTATTTAACAAAAAATTAATTTCCAAATATATTTTTTTTAAAATTTGTTTAAATAATTAATTGTAATAATTATAACTAAATACATTCATATTCGTGTGAAAATATATACGTAAACAAATTTTTTCATTGGAAAAATGCAATAGCATAGGTGAAATATACAGGGTAGCCCATCGAAAACGTACCGCAAGGCATTACAGGGTAGTAACATTTCGGCAAAATCCAAAAACAGGTCAAATTTGTTTCTGAGGGGGACAACTGTCTTCAACCCCCTAAGTGGGGGTGATATCCCCTAAATTTTTTCAAATGGGAATGGGGGTCAAGTGGGGGGTCATTAGAAAGGGCTTTTAATTCTCTATACATCGATTCTTACTTTTTGAAAATCGATTCATTATTTTAGAAAATATGCAGCTTTGAAAATACGAACAATATTTTTGACGAGAAATGCGAAAATCGATTTAATTTTACTTCAAAACTTACGGTATTAGTCAAGTAAATGCTGAAAATGTTGTCCGCCAACTTGCATACAATGATACAGGTTGTCTTCAAACCGTTGTCGAACATTCTGGAGCACTTGCGGTGTTACTTCGCGACATACATTAANACCGATTTTAGTGAAATTTGGTGGGTTGTTTTATTATACTCCAAAGTTTTTTTTACCAAAATTAGAATGCCCTCGGAGCAATTAAAATATTTTTAAAAAATTATCCAAAAGACTTGATTATTTTGCCTTTTTTCACCATTTATTACTATTTTGCAACATCGGTAATAAATTTAAACATCTTTAACTTATAGTATATTGTGCAAAATTCAATTCTAAAACTTTTTTTCCTCTTCAATATTCTTCGAAAATGTATAGATTCCAAGATATAAGTAAAAAACTCAGATAAAATAGGTACTTTTTAAATTTTGTAAACATTTTTGCAATTTCGAAAATGTTTTTTTATATAATGTTAATTGTTAATTTACTATTGGATGTATCGGACCGGGATATTAGAGACAGTTAAAGAAAGGGTTAAACTTTTGTTTCCAAAAAGTATTACATTGACAGTTCATTTAATAAACGCGCTAGCAGCAGTAAAAGTTAACGTTAATGAATGACCTGCAGCCGGGAGGAGCGCGGGGCCCGCGCACGCGCGTGAATGCCGCCCTCGTCGCGCGCAAGATACTTGAAACAAATTTGAAACGTTCAAGTAAAAATTCTCAAATAAAAACTTCTCTTGATAAGAGTTGTCAACTATAGGGTCAGCCAATAGGTATGGATGACTTTTAGAAAGCGATATAACTAACAAAAGTAATGAAGTAATGAAGAAAATCGAGAAGACGCCCAAAACAAATTCCGTTGCCTACGCAGAACGTTTTTAAATTCTCGCAATCCGGCAGCTCCCCCTACGTTCGAACACTGTCATCTCCTCAAATTCGCCGAGGTCTAGTAATGAGGCCTCTAGGCGTAACAGAAATAATTTCTTAACCCTCGTCTACTTGACAGATCTTGGCGGTGTCAGAAATATCACCTTTAACTATGACAAGAAATAATGGGTGAAATATTTCTTTCAATGCTTGTTAGTGAACTAATGAGGGTTCACTTCCTGTCTGTCGATTTCAGATGATACATATGACCTTTTGATATTAATGTATGGCTAAATATTAGCAGATATTAAAATATAGGTACTTGTACGAGGTTTGATCAAAAAGTATCGGGAATTGTTAATTTTCTTAGAAAGTATTGAGTTATCTTCAATTTTTATCCCATCCCTCAAGGTCAGAAGGATCTTCACATTTGACCAAATCTCGCCTCATCTTCAATGTCTTCCTTCCTTCCTGAAAGCATTTGTACCATTGAAAAACCCGTGACTGTGACATAGTAAAATCGCCAAAGGCCTTTTTTAACATTTTGAACGTTTTGCTGCATTTAATTCCTTTTTTAACACAACGTATCAAACGAACTCTCTGATCCAACATTTCGCGACACAAATAATCGCCAAAACCACTGAGGTAAGTGGCAGCTGCCTAAAAATTGACAGGTACATCACTGACAGTGTTACCAATACACAAAGCAAGAATAAACTCGACAGACAAGATACAACACGCGCAATTTGAAAATTCCCTTTACTTTTTTATCAAACCTCGTATATGCAAAACGAAAGTTGAAATTTTGAAACAGCAATGCAAAAAATGTTAACAAGTTGTCTAGATTAATAAGAAACATTATTTTGTTTCAGGAGGACTTTACCTGGTTCAAAATCACATATGACCGATGTACTTGTCACCGAGACACCTAGCAGGTTCGTATCGATTTAATTTAATTCACCAGTTAACTGAGAGTGTATTTTTACGAGTATACAGGCTGTTAATACACGATATACATCAAAAATCCGTTTTTTGTTGCATTTTTTGAGGCCTTTATGCTCGTAAACACAAATTTGAGATCCATGGCCAACTTTACAATTAATCATAAAAGAACCGCAGAAATACCGAAATTTAGGCTCGGCTGTTTTATTTTAAAAGAAAGAGGAAGCTTATTTTGTTAAAATTTCATGGCAAAATTGATACCTTTCACCTGGTGTAAAAAAATCTGTGAAGTGTCGAATGTAATTTGCCGCACCCTTACGCGGGCAAAAAAAAATTGTCATCTAAAACAAATGACCAAAATTTTTGCAGGTTATTCCGTTGCATATGTGTTTAATTGCCGCTAGTTATATTGCACTTCCTTAGTTTTATTTAGAAATTTTTTGCTTTTCCTTGTTGTTCTCGGGTTAAGCTCTGTGGGTGCGGCTCATAAATCCAAAATTATACAGGGTGTTCCGTTTCATAAAGAAGAAAACATGTTTAGTTTGCCATGATCTTTGAAAACACCTTGACAAAAGTAAATATCATAAAAACTTCAATTCGATTATTCTGACATTTATGACTAATAATCCTGTACATATGGCTCACTTGCTTTAATGTCTAGAACAACCGGTCAGTTTCTGTGAAATGTCGTATAAAACGCTATAAGCGAAGACGTCCAGTACTTACAAGCGTATAAATTAGTTACTTTCTAATATCTTGAAGCTCATAATCGTTTTATTCTGAAACGGAAATAATGAATGCAGGCGAGTGTTCATTAAATATTTTGCTTTGAAATTTCGCTAAATATCTAGCCCTGTACATAACTGTTTACAAGGTGAATCAACATTATGCAAATTTAATAAGTTCATTTCGTTCCATAAAAGTGAAACTCGCTTTAATATCTGAAAGTTCAAATTTAAAATGCACGATCTTAATTAAGGCAACGCTGACTATGTTGAATGTCTACTTTTGTTAAACAGAATAAGGTTTCATCTAAATAACGAACGTGAAACGTAAAATATTTGGAAAACAAGTCTCTTAAAAAAAAACAAAAACTACACAGTACTGGAGTAAAATGTTTAGAAACAATATTTTTGTTTTAATATTTCTAAAATAGTAGATAGAAATAGTTTCCTCTTTTCTCTTCAATTTAGAAAAACAAAATCAATGAATAAAATATAAAATATTAAAGTAACTGAAATGAACTATAAAATTTTAAAATTCGTATACAAAATTAAAAGGTTATTATAATTTACAAAATTACCATAAAAAATTACTCATAAAATATTTAAACACTTGTTTTTTACTTATTGTCTGAAAGATATATGCACCTATAAACTTAGAACTCTGTATATGTCGACTAGTATTTAGGGATCAATATACAGGGTGTTAATGAACTTATGTCAAAAATTTAAAGGGGTTAAAAAGGAGCAAAAACTTAGTTAACTGATGTCACAAACTTGTATCGGAAGTTTAAGGTCATAGAGAAAAAAGCTAATTAAAAATGTGTTTAAAACTGTTTTGGAACTGCTGAAGTATTTTATCGCGGTGAGTACATACAAAATATTCTGTAACACTTTTTACGAGTTTGTAGGTTTCTTATGAAGCCGGACTGTATTCGAAAGTCAGTTTGTTATAAATTGTTGCAGTGATTACTGTGCTGTTTTTTAAGAATACATTTAATAGCCGTATTTCCAAGTTTTCTTTAGAAAGTGATACATTTATTTAGCAATCCCGCAATGTTGCAACGCGTGCGAGCAAATTGGATACGTCGCGCTGAAGCTTGTGTGCAAGCAAATGTTGGATACATCGAACATCTTCTATGAACATCAGCAGTTCTCAAAAGGTGGCTCTCTGCAATGTTGAGTTAAGTCAGATTTTAAAAAACGGACATTGTGGCAAAAATATTTGACATAAGTTCCTTAACACCCCGTATATTTGCAAGTCAATGATTTGTTCTTAACTTTTCGTTTTCTCAAATGCCAAAATACTAACCCAAATATTTATCAAAAGTTTTCTTTTTTCAACTTCACCCGTAGACACAGTATAGTGTTGTGATTCCCTGTATACTTATATGTCTTCCTTTTACTGTTTCTCCTCACATAAATACGTCAAAGCAATATAAATAACTGATATTTATTATAGTTTTTTATACAAGCCCTTGTTTTTTTTGCATTAACGTAAATTGAAATTTATGCGCAAACATGGTATCTAAAGCCAACTCCGATTTTGACGGCTTGAGTGCTACAAATCCCCACTCCAAACTTTCCACAAATCCAGATTATGCGAATTAAATTAGATTGAGTATATCAGAGTTTACAGCTTCGGTTGGTCCAAAACTGTGAATTGAAAGAGGTTTTAAGCGTTGGAAACTTTATTTTCAGAATTTGAATAAGTCAGTTCCGAGAATTATTTTCATTTAACGATAGAAATCGTTTTATCATCTAAATACTAGTAAATATTTACCTGTACTGTATTAAAACTAATTTCTATATTTTTATTACATATGAAACAGAAATCTGTTAATACCAAAGCACCAGAAAACCGATTTATGAAATACTTTCTCATTGGGAAGAAAATGGGTATAACCAAACATTACAGATAACTTAAATTGCTACTAACAAGAGCGTTGTAGGTGGAATATTATTGACCATCCGGCACATATTGTAGATCAATGGTTCTTTGTAATCATCCTATATTCCTGCTTTCACCTTTGACCAAGTTGATCACGTAAAAAACCACTGCTACAAAAATATCTTTTTGTTTCCACATTTTTCAAGAATTAAATTTACTAAAGTTATCATTTTCGATGGGAAACCTACGTAGGTACATTCGAATATCCAGGCATGCCATATAGTCTTAAACCAAGTTCACACAACTGTGTCCTGCTTTGTACAATAACTCCACGTCGCCGTCGCTCTAAAGCATTGCATAGTTTGTAACACCTCCAGACACAGGCGTCTAACTTTATTCGTCGATCATTTGCTGCGAGAAGTGTAGTTCTTGATTTGTTAGTCCTCGTTAGCGTGTTTAACGTATCATTAACGATTAGAGGGTGTATCTGGAGGATGTAAAACTTACATACACATAGAAATTGTACTTTTATTAAATTTTCAATTATTATTATCATCATTGTTATTATTTCTTGACAGCTTTCACTGGTGTATCCTCCCGACGAAAGAGCTGAAACTAAGTACATCAGAAGTTCATTTTTGGAAAAGAGATCGTGTAATTTATAATATTTATTCTCTAATATTGTTTGTGATGTGTATGTACAGGGTGTATGTATGTACAAAATATTTTAAATTAATAATCATAATTTTATACTTTGTTTTGTGCTTTGTTATTAGTTATTGTTATATTTATTACTTACAATTAAAATTGTTTAATATTTTTTATATTTTGTTAAATTTCCTTTAAATATAAATAATCAGGTACCAACAGTCAGTAATTTACCTTTCATGGGCAAATCGGCTTCACAATTAAACTCCTTATTTTTAACTCCCTTCGCAACAGACGAATTGTTGCTCTTATTAACAGATAAGTTAAAAAGTAAGAATTCGTAAGGAGCTGATGACATTCCATGTTTCTTATTAAGAGCGTCACTCGATTTATTATTTCTCTCCTTAAATTTTAAACTTTTTGGAAAACGGCGAGTGTCCTGTTGGGATCTTTTGCGATCTGAGCAGGACATTCGATTGTGTTAATCATGAAATTTTAATATCGAAATTAAATAACTACGGTATTCGAGCACCCGCATTAAATTGGATAATTACTTTTGTTGAAAATAGGAAGCAATTTGTAAGCATAAATTATAATAATCAGAATGTTTGTGGTAAATATAACTCGGAATGTTCTTTGGTAACGTTGGGTGTACCACAAGGATCTGATTTAGGCCCTGTGTTATTTTTACTATATAATGTGATATTTTATTGAACAACTTAAGTAACTGGTTTGCCCAAAATTCATTACATTTTAATATTGAAAAAACTCAAGCACTTCGATTTTGCACTACTCAAAATAGAATGTATAACATTAAATTTGAATATTAATAGTGGTTCTCTACCTACTGATTCTGTGACAGTAAAATTTTTAGGTTTAAATTTGGACACAAACCTTAACTGGAAATGTAATAGTAAAAATATAATATCAAAATTGTCTTCAATAACTTTTATTTATTTCGAAATATTAGAACAGTCCTAAGAACTGTTTATACTATGCCCAAGTTGAATCCCGATTGAGATATGATGTTTGTTTCTGGGGTAATTCAACTCTCTCGTCACATGTTTGATGTTTCAAGTACTCATTCTTGTAGAAATATATGTATGTATATGTGTTGTTCTATTTGTTTTCGTTTTTTTTAAATAACATAGCAACTAATATGTAAACAAATTTGTGACAGGAGTGACAGCGATTGTTTTTCACGGTAATGTTAATTAAGTCATGACTAGATCCAATACAATAGAATACATTTTTGTATAATGATTGTTATTGTAACTTTTTAAGGAGAAGAGATGGAAAAAGAATTTCTGCACAAAAAATGTTTATAAAAATGGACAATTTTAGTTATCATAAAAATGGGTATGTTCTTGGAAAAAAAGTTTATGACGATTTTTTTATTTTCCGAATTTTGAATATATGTGCAAAACGGACCTCAGCGAGCCCCTATTCACGCTATCTATATGTCCTTTACTTTTGTTTGTATTTGTATGCTTTTTTCAGTGCGATATTTTAGGTTAGACAAAACTATTTTCACAAAAATAACTTGATTGATCTTTTTGGTGCAAGGGTTTATTTCATTAATTTTTAAAATACTTTCTCAGATGGCAAAATACCCAAAATAAGAGTTTTCGGAACTGTCAAACTTGCCGACCCGATTTCTCTTTAGTTTCTGCGTTTGGTAAAGTCGCGTTATTCATGTTCACTGTAATAAATTCCCATAAAAAAAAACATA